TCCCTCCCTCCTCTCTCTCTCTTTCTCTCTCTCTCTCTTTTTCTCTCTCTCCCTCTAGTTTTTTTGAGACAGGGTTTCCCTGTTTAGGCCTGGCTGTGCTAGAACTTGCTGTGTATTCCAGGCTGGCTTTGAAGTCAGAGATCAGCCTGCCTCTGCCTGGGATTAGAGGTGTGTGCCATCACTGCCAGGCTACATGATCTCTTCATACACACAAACTCTACAAGTTTCTTTCTGTGATATTACCTTGACCTATGCATACTTTTAGGTTGAAATTTATATACTATAAGGACAGAATAAATAATACTTAATAATGTTATTTATTCCATACTTAAATTTCAAATCTCTGTAGTAAAATAATTTTTCCTTCATTTCATCTAAATGGCAACCACAGAAACATTTTTAAATATCCAATATCAACCAAAAAGGGACACACTACCACTTTAAATCTTCACTTTCCTTTAAACTCTGCTGATATTTCAATTCAAAAGATTAGATCTTGATAAAAATCAGTATATTTGAGCTTTATTGTTTTCATTTAAATATGTTTCCTTGGCTTTTAAAAAATGGTCCATGCTTGAAGCCCTGGTCTGGCTTCAAAGACCAGGGTGATATATTCGTGATCCATTGCTATGTGATATTGATACCCAAATGAGGTTCACAGGCGAGGTTAGTGAGAGTGGTCTTCCCAAGGATGCTGTTTGTGACAGCCCAATTTCAGTGCTGATAGGGCCCGTTTGGTCAGAGGAAGTAAAACTGGAGTGATGTGGGTGTGGAGGCTAGGGCTCATGAATTAACCTTCTGATGAAAGGAAGCATATGGAGAATCTAGTGAGAGACAAAGACCATGGTATAGGTTGTGGAGCACCAAGGCTTTTCCGATATAGTGTGAAGAATCCCAAGTCACTTTAGGAACCAAGAATGAAGTTCTAGGAACTACTGAAGGCTGTAAGAGTCTGAGGAGAATATCCTACTCAATACGGTCACCAGCCATAGCTGGATATCAGCAGGGTTTGCTTGAAGTGGTCTGGAACTGGGAAATCTTGCAATGGCAAGGTCTTTCCTTAGATGCTTTAACTGAAATACAAGGGAGTGTGAAGTGTAACTAGTAGAACATGCAGGGAATTAGAGTATCAGCTCATTGTTGGGTGGTGTAAAAATCTCTAAAATTCCCATAATTTGCCAACATCAATATTCTTGAAACCATTTAACACATAAAAAGTAAGCAAAAGTTAATTTTAACAATAAAAAAAGAACTTGTAAGAGGTACGTTACTGGGCTTTTTGCAAATGCTGTTAACTATGGGGATCGTTACCATTAGTCTTATGGTTATCTTTAAGCCAATTATAATAAAAAATACCCCTTCGTTCAGGATTAGTCAGAACTAGGTTTAGCACTCATACACTGCATTAGCTCAAGCTTTCACGTAATATACAGATGGAACACATACAGTAGCCCTGACTATAGGTCTGTTAATTATTGTATTTGTCATATGGTATCACAGTATGTTCTGCTCAAATCACACACAGATTAACTAATTAAAAAGTAACACAGTTTAGAGTAGATATGCTGATATCCTTTATGGAGAAAGGAAGCAGAGTAAGATATATAGTTAGCAATATTGATAGAGTTAACAGTTCTTCAGGTGGACCATACGTTTGAAGACTTCTCATAGTCTGCAGCAAAGTTGTACTTCCCTGATTTTCACTGACAGACATCTGCTGACATGTGGAGGAGCAGCTGCTGTGGCCTTCAGTGTCATACTGCCACAGAAGGTGAAGGTGAAGGTTGCAGATGCTATCTGTTTACTAAAAGACAAACATCCTTAGGTTGGACCTAGATTTTACTCTAAGTTTATGCTGTTTCGAAGCCAGTGTTCTTCCAGTTCCGCCCTCTAAATATATTCTCCACAGAAAAAAACTCTTAGTCTTCACCAGAAAGATTAAGCCAGGCCAGATCATAGTAATTCTTACTAATAATATTTGCTGGATCAATAAATTAAAGACAACTTTATATCATAAAAAGCTCCAATAAAGTAACGTATTGTGCTGGTTGGTATACATTCAGCCCAGGGAGTGGCACTATAAGAAGGTGTGGCTCTGTTGGAGATGGTCCAGATTAAAGGTGTATACCACCAAGCCTGGATCTGGGACTTGTTTTGTCTCAGGCTAACCTTGAACTCAGAGATCTCCTTGCCTTAGTCTCCTGGGATTAAGGGCATGTACTACCTTGCCTGGGTCTAAGCTTTTCTTAGCCACTATGCCTCAAGATCTCCATGCCAAGATCCAGGTCAGAAACTTGTGTCTTCCAGCTGCAAGATCTGAATCACAGGTGAGCCCTCCAATTCTGGATTGTAGATCATTCCAGATATAGTTAAGGTGACAACCAGAAATAGCCATTACACCCATATTTCAATATCTTTAGGTATATTTATATTACATACATATCTACACCTGTACACACACATATACATGTGAGTATGAAACACCAATTATAATCATCTACTAGAATTGCTATTCTTATCACTATTTTCCCCATGCTTCTCACTAAGTTTTCTATAAGCACCTAAATATTCAACATACTAAGCATACAATGGAGCTTTATAGTACTGAGGGATCGAACAGCCTGAATGATGTTGCTACAGCATTATCATATACTTACAGTGACTTCTAGAAGTGTTTATCAAGTAACAATTCATTATTGTATGTCTTAGTATTCTGCTGTTTTGTATTTCCCTCTACAAGACCATGTTCTGCCTCAATTTCCTTATCTATAAAACAACACTCTAATTGTTCCTACTGCACGGTAGTATGATGAAGATTTTTTAATTGCTTCAAGTCAATGATTCTCAACCAGTGGGCTGTAACTTCTTTGGCCAATCTCTGTCTCCACAAATATTTATATTACATTTCATAACAGTAGGAAAATGTCAGTTATTAAGTAGCAACAAAAATAATTTTATGGTTGAAAATTACTCAACCATTGTAATGAGGGCTATCATTACAAAAGATTATTCTGCTCACAGCCAACAAAACCCAAATATTCTCAGAGCAAATACTTTTTCAAAAAATGAACTATCCAGTTTCAAGTATATCTTAGTATGCTTTTCAAGAAAAAGAAAAAGAGTAAGTATTTATGAAGTTCTTCACCATTAGGTAGAAATATATGAAACATATTTTATAGAAAAAATGGCTGAAAATCAGAAAGCATAAAGGTTTGACTTTCATGCACTTTCATATCTCCACCAGCACAGTCTGGTACAGAGGAACTCAATGGCACTGAACACTGCTGTCACAAGTCACAGGCTTTCCAACTACTTTAAGTTTGTAACAAAGCAACTGCAACAACGAGATGGTAACGACTCTTTCACTTTAAGTCAGTCAAATTTACTTTGAAGCATAGAAAGCAAGTTCATGACTGCTTGTCAATAGATATTGACTCTGTATTTCAAATTGCATCTTGAATTGAAGCAGTGAACATAATATACAAAAGAAAAAAAAAACTTACCATGCTTTCCCCTAGAAATATCCACATACTGGCACAGTCTGGGATGGGTGATGGTCTTAAGGATTTGGAAGCGACCTAAAATTTTGATGGAATTTGGTGTGAGAGGAAGTCCATTGCTTCCACAAACATCATGTGGAAGAGCAGAGGCAAAGAAGGTAAAGGCGCCCATTTCAGCATCCTTCAGAGGAAACATTTTGGAGTCTTGGATCCTCTAAGACGATCTAGAAAATGAGAGAATTTTATGACAGAATGAGGTAACATTAATCCAGTAATTTCTCACTTTAAAATTAACAGTCAACTTGGGCGGGGCAGTGGTGGCACAAGCCTTTAATTCCAGCACTTAGGAGGCAGAGGCAGGCGGATTTCTGAGTTCAAGGCCAGGCAGGTCTACAGAGTGAGTTCCAGGACAGCCGGGGCTACACAGAGAAACCCTGTCTCGAAAAACCAAAACCAAACCAAACCAAACCAAACCAAAACAAAACAAAACAAAACAAAAACAGTCAACCATGCCAAAAACAAAACAACCATGCCACTCTGAGATCAAATATTAAAAAAAAAAATCAAAGTTTAAAAATTTAAAGACAATTTTACACCCAAGCACAAGATTATATTGCAGCTCAAAATCAATTTCAAAGGTTTTCAATGGCATAAAAAAGGGAAGAGTTAGAAGATTTCATCTTCAAATTCAATTACACCTGCGACTGAGGAGGGACAGGTAGTTACTTTGCTGCTCTTGTTTTGTTCTGCATAGGTACAGAGTTCTCATTTGTCCCAGCCTGGCCTTTGCTCACTGTCCTTGAGCTCCTAACCCTCCTGCCTCCACTTCCCAGGTACCTGCTTACACACATGCACCACAGTGCATGGCCAGGTCTGTGACTTGTAAATATCAAGGAAATCTGATACTATATTTTCATATTAATGAAGTTCCTCTAACCTAAAGCTTGACTAGCCTATTATCCTCCTAGCTAAATGACTTTAAGAAGTGACTATTCAGTGTGTATAAAAGAGCGCCATCACAAAATCAGAAACAAGTATGCAAGTGTGTAGCAGGAAATGGTTAACCTGGCCTCTTCAGATTCAGGGCTTCACCTTTGAGAACCTGGACAATGCTAAGTCAAAGTCAGAAGAAAGGTTAAAGTTAGAATGGTGATGTGAAATGCTGAAGTACTAGAAGATTCAGTTTGCCCCAAAATATATGGACAGTTATTTATTTTACAAATATAAAAGAAAAATAGATAAGGAAGGAAAAAGTGAAAAAGGGAAAGTGGGAAGGAAAAAGGAAGAGCAAAGTGGAAGGAAAGTCAAGCGAGTAAAATGAGCCTAAATTATAATAATTGTTATACACAGTGGGAAAAGAAAAGATAGAAGGACCAGAGAGGAAAGGGAAGGCTGGGGGAGGAAATCCTCAGTTCTGGAATTTTAAGTACCCTGGTAAGTTGTAGCTGTCCTAAAACAGGCATCTAGGCAGCAAGCTTCTCCACGTACAGGAAACGAATAGCAGTGTTTTGTTCTTTGTGGTGCACATGTGTAAGCAGGTACCTGGGAGGTGAAGGCAGGGGGATTAGGAGCTCAAGGAGAGTGAGTCAAGGCCAGCCTGGGACAGATGACAACTCTGTACCAAAGCAGAACAAAACAAGACCTGACTTCTACACACTGAAGTAATCAGAACCATTCGTGGTTTAAAAGAAACTATATGATAAAGAGCATAAATGAATATTAACTCACACACACATACAGAGACGGCTCTGATGACATCTAAAATAATTTTTGTGATATGAAAAATTCAATTATATCTAAAGAGATCTGAGAAAATATTACATCCATTATATAATAATATAAAGAAAATAGAAAGAAACACGACATAAGAGTAAAGGCCAATAGATTTCATGAGAAAATAACAGATTCCTCGGTAATCAAGGAATTACACATTAAAGTCACACTAGAATTTATAGCTACAATGCAGTAAAAATCAGCATCACATTATCATGTGCTATTAAAAAAATCCACACCAGACAGATCAAGTTACCACACAAGAAATACCACCCACACACCTATTATAAGCCCATTTCTCTAGGATGTAATTTAATACAACAGAAGGGATAGACAATAGATGTAAAGAAACAATAAAATTTATACAAGAGTTCCACAAGAATAAACACAAAATAGAAGCTATCCAGAAGAACTAAAGCATCATTTGCTTAACAACAAAGCCACTGAATTCTAAGGCAAATATGTTCAAGGAGAGGAGGAATGGAATGGGGCCTTCTATGTATGCCATAGAGAAGACTGAAGACTTGCTGAAGGGCATGCATTTTTTCTCCAAAGAGAAACCGAAAGTCAAACAACAGAGTAAGGGGGATTGAAAAGCAAAAATGTTAAAAATATGTCTAAACATACAATCTACAAAATCAAGCACATTTCCTGTTGAAAGGAAAGAAAGAACTTGAATTATCTTTGATGTTACAAAAATGCTCATAAGTCATAGTGTTAACGAAGGAGAAAATGTGATCTAGCACACTGTATGGGTCCGCACTGAGAAATCATTATAAATCCCCACTACTGTACACATTTGTTTCTCTTTTCAACACACAGATTAAACATTACACTCAGGAACTATAACCAACCTTGACAATGTAAAAGTCCTGCTAAGGAAAAATGCAGGTGTCCCTAGACTACACTAGGAATTAATGATAGTGCTATCTGCTAGACTTCATCAGCTAATTACTTGAAGCGCCGTTTGTTTAGATACCTCTTGCTTTCAAAACTTATAAAAAGCCAGGTACCCATATCCATATGCATTTGATGGCTAACCAGGAGAGAATATCCAGACTCCCTCAGTCTGGTTTGGGCACCATTTTGACAACTGGAATAAATGTGTGCTCTTTATAATAAAAAGGATACACCCATTAGTGCTACCACAGATGCAGTTATCCTAAATAGGGGGGAAAGGAAGGAAGGTCGTGTCTTAGCTTCCAGAAATGTCCTGTTTTTATGAAAAGTTCTGATGCACATTTCTTCATATCCAATTCAAAATCCAGACCTTAGACTTCTCTACAAGAAGGCTTTAGAGCACAAGGCTCCTTCTCTGTTCATTGGCAGCCAAATGAAATCTCCTACAGGCTCTCAGAACTAATGGACCTGCAAACTTGGTAACACAGGCGAATTTGTTTTCTGTGGTGATAAACGGAGAGAGCCACTGTTACTCTCACTTTAACAGAGGAGTCAAAACACATCCTCAGAACTTCATGTGAAAATCGTTATAAGCACTATCCCGAATCTTCTAGATACTGTGGGCTAGCTTAAGTCAATTGTAAAACTACTTGAATTTTAATTTCTTATTCAATGAGTAGATCCAAAATTACAGAAAGTTATATCTAAATACCAGGCTTGAAGTCATAGGAAAGGTGAGACATAAACCTCGACATTTTAATATCCAGTTTTTACAATGATATATTGGATTTTCAGTTATGGATATTAATAACACACAACTGAAAAATCAGACAAGTGTTTATGATTCGAAAAGATAGACCACAAGCAAGCATACAAATTTCAGTATTGCTCTACCTCTCAGGTGTGCATGAAGCTCACAAGCATAAAAAAGACACACACACACATGTGCTCACACTTGGTGACTAGAAGACAGTGAGAAAACGAAAACGACAAGGTAAGAGATTACAAGAGGAAAGTCGTGTAGGCAGGCAGTTGGCTTGTAAAGTTTACTCAGGGAATACTTTGAAACTTCTATGTTAAGTCCGATGTTTCTGTAGCTAGACTACTAAGGACCACAAACATGGCATGCACCTTCAATGAACAAGACATAATATAAACTCTGAAACTGCTTTGAGATGAATGACTCAAGTGAGTCAGAAATATTAAAAAAAAAAAAATAGGGGTCGGGGGAAGATGTTGATTTTATCCAGAGTAAAGTCGTATTTGCATTTTAAGACCCGGCGAACTTGTGCTTGCAGGAGAAGGAAGTTTGGAGATAAACACAGCAGCAAGCAGGTCCACAGATTGGTTCTACCGGTTTTTGCAGAATGGCCGGGTCACTCCCTGCACCTGATGGCCTTCCAGGTCCCACAAGCCCCACCCACTACCACAAGGAATGCTACACCAGAATACCTGCCTGAATCTGGGGGCGCAGAGATTAGGGGGATGAACTCCTAAGCGCTGTAGTTGTGCCTGGCAGTGCTTAATGGGCCGTGTTCTGCATTTCAGGCGCGTCTACAAGAGGCCGCCTATGGAAGATGACAGCCGGAGCGACACGCCTCCGTCCGCGCGGGCCGCCCAGGTTCACAGCTCAGAACCTGAGTGTGAGCGCGTGCCTCGCTCAGTGACAGCGCCCAGCATCCCCTCCCCGCCGTCTGCAGCCTCGGGTCGGCCACTACTCATGACGTCATATCTCCGAGACTCAACGCCGAGGGAAGACCCCTAACTTCCGGCCGCCTGTCCGTTGCCTAAACAAGATAGCAAAATGAAGCGAGTGAGGAAGAGGTGAGGGAAGATTGGAAGAAGGGAATGAAAGACCAGAGCGCAGTGTAGTACAGGAAGAGTACGCGCGCAGGAAGCGGACGGCTGATGAGGGGTGAAACTGTGAAACGCTCAGGCATTTATTAGGGACACTCCCCGGGTCCTTTCTCCCTGCCGCCGACTGCGGGAGGCTGGCCCTTCCTACACCTGGCTGAGGCTGCTCACGAGCTGCGGTTCACCGCTTCATGTGAGTGTCACGAGAGGGACTAAGATAGATAGGTAGCGATCCACAATTCCTCTTCCCTTTCTCACCCGGGAAAAAGAACCTGGCCTTCCGCGTACTAGTGGGAAGCGTGGTTGTGTGGAGGTAACCGCGGAGGCTAGAAAGCATCAGATCCCAGGGAACTGGAGTTTCTTGTGATTGTGAGCGTCTGTGTGAGTGCTGGGACCTGAACTGGGGTTCCCTGCAACAGCACTAAACACTTTTTAGTCTTAATATTTTATACTTAAATATTTTAGGTTATAACTTCCACCCACGTGCGGCGAGAAACAGAAAAAGCTTGGCCCCTTTTGATTCAGCTTAGTTTTGGAAAGGAATACATGGCCGAGGGAAAGCATGCTACTGAAGGTAGGGAATGAATTAATTAGCTTGTTTCCTTTTAAGTGAGAGTGCAAAGGATTTCCAGTGTAGGTACGTGAGGAGGGGTTGAAGAAAGGAATTGATTCAGCAGGTATTAGAAACACCAGCTACCACTATACTCCCGGCAACATTTTAGTGTATTGGGTAAAGATCCATAAACAAAATAGAAAAGACAGTTAACAAAACGGACACAAATTCCAATCATTGCCTCTCGGCTAGGACTTATTTTTGAAGTACAGCACTAAAAGTAAGGTGAACATTCCGTGTTTTAATATTGATATATTTTATTTATAAGTATGCGTCCATGCCCGACTGAGCTTTTGTGCAAAAGTTGTGTGGAGGTTACCACGGAGGCTAGAAAGCATCAGATCCCAGGAACTAGAGTTTCTTGTGATTATGAGCTTCTGTGTGAGTGCTGGGACCTGAACTTGGGTTCCCTGCAACAGCACTGAACACTTTTTAGTGTTAGTCTTTTATACATAAATAGTTTAGATTATAAGTACTGAACAGAAAAGGTATTAAGCGGTAAAAAAAAAAAAGTATGTTATTTGACATGGTAATGTGGCCAGAGAAGGTTCTCAAGGAAAAGATGGCTTTCTAGGAAGAAAGTGACACAAATGAAATTAACAATACAGAAAACCTTCAGGAAGTGCCAAGCCATTGCTAAGGCCATGCAACAGAAACTTATCCAAATAACAAGGGGGCTTACCAATACCTATGGGCTTAGAACAGAGAGAAGGAATTCAGAGAGAACAAACATCCATGGGGAGTGAAAGGCATAGAAGGTTTTCCATGGCCGAGTAATGTTACCCAATTTCTTTTTGAAGAGGGTTACTCAGTAGACTGGGGGCAGAAATGAGAAAGGCGATCAGTTAGGGGGCTTTTGTTTTACCTCAAAGGAAACATAACAGTGGCTTCAATAAAGGTCCTAAATGTCTAGTCATGTATTGAGGGTCCCCAGTACATATACATAGGGAACTATGGATGGCAAGTTTTATTTTCATTAATTAGGGTTTAGGAAACCCTTTGAAGGCAGGTGGATTTCTGAGTTCGAGGCCAGCCTGGTCTACAGAGTGAGTTCCAGGACAGCCAGGACTACACAGAGAAACCCTGTCTCGAGAGAAAAAAAAAAAAAAGGAAACTTTTTGAGTGAATTGTGTGAATTTCAGAATGACGAGCATAAGTTAAAGTCATGGCTTTTGCTATTTGATAATTGGATGGGTCCAGACAATACATATACTTTCTTCTAGTGTATAAAATGAAGACAATATCTTACATGGTGAAGAGTAAATGTCAATGTTAGGATGCCTGCCATCCATTAGTTTTTGTTCTTACCTGCATTCTTGAATTGGAAATAGACGAGATGGTGTGGTTGAAGAGATTGGTTAACAAGTGATGGAAGATAGCTCAGCTGTGCAGTAAGGTGATCACAGGAGGCCTAGCTATGCCTTTTGTGTTTATGTATATATTCTTCTGGGAGAAAGAGTTATGAATTAATAGCCATAATATTGTAAAAACATGGAATATCCTTTCATAGTAATCAATCTTATAGTCACCTTCTCCCCTCATTGTCATCATTTAATATCTCTAGAACTTTCTGTGTCCTCATCAGTAAAGAGAAAAAAGGCTCTCTGGCAAGGGGATAAAAATCTAGAATAACTAGGAACTTTCACCCTAAATAGTCTCAGGTCTTCTATGGGTTTTAGCAAGGCTTTGTTTAAAAAATTGCCAGTAGGATTAATGTTAGTTGCTACACTATAGTTTGAGTGTTTCTGAAGTATATTGTCCTCATATTTAATTGCAGTATTTACTTGTCCTTGCCTTCGGACTTTGACACATGTGTTCAATAATAGAAGGAATTTAATGTGGTCTAAAAAGTACCATGTTGCTGTCAGAGTACAATAACTTGACAACTAGATTATGAAGCAACTGGGGGAAATGTTTGGAAGGTAAGATTGGAGATGAAGGGAAGAAGAAAAAAACATAATTACTGTTAATTCTCACATTTACATATCTGAAAGTGGGGTGTATTGGCTTAAGACCACCCTGAACTGCCAGCTGGTGACATAGTTTTCAATGTGCCAGTTAGGAATAAGTCATCATAAATGTTAATGTTGTTATTCTGTTGTGTGCTATGTTGGTATTTAGCTTATGAAGTGTAATTTCTATTTTATGTATACTTTTAGTGATTGTGACTTAGTGTCAAAATGAATTTACTATGTATTCAGAAATACAGGAAAACAAAGTAGTAATATAAAACAAGAATCTAGGTCTAAATTTAAAAGTTTTTCAGTTAATGTAATATATGAACTATATTAAAATGATTTATAGGTTGTGGCCCAGCTAGTCTATCAGTGGTTATCTACTAGTGGAAGGTCTAAGAAGCTCTGAGTTATTCAGTTCATGAGACTGAACATTTCAGCTGGTCTTAAATATGCACTAGAATTCCAAAGGAATAGGTTCTAATCCAGGGAAGGAATGGATCTGCCAGTGAGAGTGAGCACCAGCAGGCCAAGAGAGTGTGCTGCCATCTTCTATGTCCTTTATATAGGCTGCCAGCAGGTGTGCCCAAGTTAAAGGTGGATCTTTCCATCTTAGAAGATCCAGATTCAAAATGGGCCTTCCCACTTCAAATGATTTAATTAAGAAAAAAAATCCTTTATAGGTGTACTCAGCCTCTTGGATTTTTTGTTAATTCCAGATATAGTCAAATTGACAACCAAGAGTAGCATTCAAAATGTGGATCAGGAGCACTGGAGCAAATGAGTCTATAGTCAGTGTGTAGAGGAATTTCAATTATATATGCTATATGTATGAATGAAATTAAAATAGCAGACTATTTTATGAAGCCATTTTATACTTGATGGCTTCATAGATTTGATCAAATTGAGTATTGAGAAGTATTATATTTAACCAAAGTACATTTTTACATAATTGTAATTCTGAAGTAGTGAAATTAGGGATCCAGAGAATTCTTGTGCTAGAATGTAAAATGAAAACCACACATAAAAATTTGGTTTTCAGTAACTTTTGAAAAAAAGTAATAGTTTTCTAACTTTTAGAACCCGGTGGTTCTAAATGATTGAGAGTTAAAAGAAATCACAGGCAACTTGAATGAAGTAGGGATTTCAGCTAAGGAGATACTGACATAAAGAAGCAATCCAGTAAAGATAGGAATCTCTAAAAGTCGTATCTTAGGTTATGTTTTACTCTTTCATGTGTACTCTAAATTCATGCATTTGGTAGTGTATGTAATTAATCATGTAATTAATTGCTCTCTGTGTGTTTCATGAAATATCACAAATTGAGACAAAAGTCTCATGTAACAATTTCATGCCTTTCCAATGTTTTTATCTTAATTTTTTTATTAGTAGTAAAGAAAGAAGGTCTTTTTTCATCAGTAATGTACAAAAATAGATTTGATGTGTTGCCTTTTCTGCCCCTCCCTTTTTTCTTGATCTCCATGGAGTTCTTTTATGAGCAGGTACTATACATAACAATGAAGTATTACATCTATTTTCATCTCATATTTTTAACAAGTTACCATAGAAACTAAATGAACATCTCAAACCATCCAGACAGAACAAGCTCCAGTAATGCTAATGGATGCTGTTTGCTTCTGATTCCAACTGTAATTAGACTGGAAAATGATTGGTAATTATGTTTGGAGAAATTACAACATGCTCATTAAAAGAGCTAGCTTGAGCATCAGATTGCATTTCAATCCTCATTTACTAACTATACTACCTGGGAAAATTAATTTAATTTCAGTTGTCTTCTGTTACAATGGAGTTGAAATATTCATAAATGTTTCATGTACTTAGGCAGCAAGTAATAAATATTTTACAAGTATATATTATTTCTATTATCGTGTATGAGAAGTATACATATCAGCATAATAAAAGCTCTGAACACACTAAGGAGACTTTTTATTGTTTGTTTGTTTGTTTGTTCGTTTGTTTGTTTTTCAAGACAGGGTTTCTCTGTGTAGCCCTGGCTGTCCTGGAACACACTCTGTAGACCAGGCTGGCCTCGAATTCAGAAATTCGCCTGTCTCTGCCTCCCAAGTGCTAGGAGGCGTGCACCACCACTGCCCAGCTTTAAGAAGACTTTTTAAACAGATATTTTTATTTTAATGTATGTGTGCACATGTATGTCTGCATTTGTGTGTGTGCTCCACTATGTGCATGCCTGAAGCCTGTAGAGGCCAGAAGAGGGGTTCA